TACTGTCCAACATCAAGAATAGGAAATAAACTTGCTTCCAAGAACAATACATTGAATTAAATGGGGTAATTTTACTTCAGAATAATACTCTGGAGGGGCTTTCCAGAGTAATAAAACAGACAGCGGAAACTACCAAGTGGAGTGAGGAGAAGGTGGGAAGTGAAGAGGAGATGAACCGCACATCTATTCCACATGCATTTGTGCTTGGCCTGTGGGGCTCGGCTGCTGACAGCCGTTTCTGGTTGTGTGTGAGATGCCACGGGAGCTGGGGACACCAGGTGTCACTCCTGTGGCTCAGCCTCAGGTCCTGGTTGTATCCTGAGCGAGCCAGTTTGGGGAGTCAGGAAAGCAAGGCTGGGGGGAATGTTTCCTATAAGCTTGAAAGACTTCCAGCATTTTTCAAAGATAATTATGGTCCTTGCCTCTTAGAATCAGGTACTCGGAGGCAAGGGCAGTGTTTTGAACGTTTAATATACAGTAAAGAAAAGGCCCTGAGTAACTGGAATGGACTCCAGACTCATCAGCACAGAGGCTCACTGTACCCAACATTTTAGCTGAAATTGAGGCTGATCTGCATGTCTAGTGAAGGTCAGTAGGGATGGAAATAGAGCAAATTAAATTTCATGCATGTATGATTATGTTAAGATGAATCCCACTATTATGTGTAACTATCACGTACTAATAAAAGCATTAAAAAAAAATAGCATGGGCCCTGCAGTTCCATCTTAGATGTCTCTTGGAATCCCTGATAGCTCTGATTTTTTGAACAAGTGAAAGCTCTCCTGAGCTTCATTTTCCTCACATCTAAATAGAATGTTATTTTCTTTTAGGACTGCTTTGAAAAAGAGACAAAATGAGTTTTATTTGTTTTTCATTATGAAGCAAATCATCGGAAAACTTGGTGACTTAAAGCAACAATGATTTCCTATTGCTGGCTGGATGAAGAGTCCAGGAAGGGCCTGCTGGGTGGTTCTCCTGTCCCCTGTGGTACCTGGGTGGGGGTGGGGGTGTCTTGCTCAGCTGCATTCACCTGGCATCTGGGCCTGGGTAAGTGCTTCAGAAAGGTCGTGTGCACTTGCTGGCACTTCACTGCTCCTCCATGTGGCCTCTCTGTCCCCACACATTCAGGAGTCTGAACATCTTCACAGCATGGTGGCTGGCTTCTCAGAAGCAGAGAGGCCGCCTATCTATCTTCTGGTTTAACCCCAGAATTGACACAGTGTCACTTCGGTCATACTCTAGAGGACAAGAAAAGTCATGAGGCCAGGGAAGATTCTAGGGGAGGAGGGAAAGGGAGGCCACCTCTCAGAGAATTGAGCATGGGGCATGCACAGGGAGGAAAGCCGGTATTTTCCACAAACAAATCATGGGAAAGGATCTAGTACAGTGTTCAAAATCCTTCATAGCTCCCACCGTAGCTTGCATTCAAATTCCTTGGCAATGCACTTAAAACCTTTGATGATCTCCGACCCCTGACTCTTATTCTGAAGAGCTCCCTTCCTCGCAGCCCCACTCCAATCCACTGCTTTGCACGTGCTGCTCTTGCTAAACTAGCCCCTTGCCTCCTGTGTATACCTCTAGGCTATCCTCAGTGCTGCCTCTCGGATTTTCCTCCACCCCTGCCCTCGCCTCCCCACTGCGTGCTGACCTTCATTTGTGCAAAGGCTTTGTCTCTCTCTGTGTTGAATCCACCTGTTTCCTGAGCCCCTCTCTCCAGGCTCATTATGGGTGAGACCCTTATGAGACTCCGTGATGGTGTCAGGGCCTGGAAAGCAGAAGGACTTTCCATAGTTGACTGAAAACGGAACAAGTGCCGCCAGGTCAGCTTTCTGAGGCTCTGCGTGGCCTGGAGGAGACCAGTTCATTTCCTTCACATGAGCAGGTGACTGGGCTGGGGTAAGAGAAAAGGTGACAGGGAAGGGCAAGATGGAGGGGTTGGATCTTAAACTCACCAGGAAAGATGAGAGGGAGAGGGGGACAGTCAGCCAGCACGGAGTCACCTGGTGAATTATGAAGAGGGGCGTGGGAGATGATAAGGCCGGTTCAATTAAACTTCAAAGGAGTTTGCTTTTGTAATGAAGCAAGAAAGAAAAGTTTCTTGGAAGAAAACAACAGGGAGCAGAGAGGATTCCTGCCCCACCTCCACACCCCGAGGCTAAAAGTTATGGGGGAAAAGCTCTTCGGAGCTTGAGAAACCTGTGGAGCAACCAGAGGTGGGTTCCACTTTAGCTGGAGGAAGAAGGTGACTGGGATGATCAGAGATTGAGGGTGAAGGGACATTTTCTGGTGAGAGCCTCAGTTCCAGAAGGCTCTGTGCAGAGGTTCCAGGGAAGACAAGGAGAGGGCGATGGTCTCATTAGTGGATGCCCAGGGAGTATGAAAATAAGCCTCCATCTAGTGATGGGACTCCTGATGGTGCCTGAGATGATCCAGGATGGTGATGGAACGGATTGTGGGTGTCTGAGAGGATAATCACCACCTAAGAGTATGGACAGATGTGGGTAGCTAGGGCCACCATGGAGCGCCTTGGTGTTGTGGCTCAACAGGATCAGGCTGAGAAATGGGTAGAGGACACTGGTAGGTAGCCCACAAGCTGTGGTACTTGTGGGCAGGACTTGGGAATGGCCTGTCAGTATCTTAACTGGAGCATCAGAGGAGCTGGGAGTTGTGGCTTGGTGAGAACTGTGGGTACTGGGTTCTCCTGGGTGGAAAGGCTTTGTCAATTTGATTGAGGAGATGGAAGGGCTGGATGTCTCTCTCATGGAGTGTGGCATGGAAGAGCTCAGAATGGGAGCGATGGTTTGTCGAAGGCCACATAATTAGTAAATGTCAGATCTGGAGTTCAAACTCAGGTTTTCTGAATTTGAGTTCATTTCACTTTGTCCCTACTCCTCTAAAGGAGGCAAGATGGGCCCGAGGGTAGGGAAGAAGGTGGCTGTATCAGTCAACTTTTTGTTACTGTGACCAAAATATCTGACAAGAATGACTTAGAGGAGGAAGAGTTTACTTTGGTTTCATGGTTTCAGAGGTTTAGTCCACAGTTGGCTGATTTCATTGCTCTGGGCCAAGGTGAGGCAGAACATCATGGATCATGGTTGAAGGCTGAGGTAGAGGAAAGCTGCTGGTTCATGGAAGCCAGAAGTAGAGAGAGCAAGAAAAGAGCCAGGGGACAAGACATAGTCCAAGGGCATGCCCCTGGTGACCTACTTCTCCAGCCTTGCCCCACCTGCCTACAGTTACCACCTAGCAGTCCATTCATACTACTAATTCAACAAATGGATTAATCCACTGATGATAGCCTCCACCATCTAATCATTGCCTAAAAGTCTTGAACCTTGTATTGGAGACCATTCTTTCAAAACATGAACACTTTTGGGTGACTTTACAGATCTAAACCATAGCAGCAGCTAAGGAAGTTAGAGAAGTAGGGAGTTGGAAGGCTTGCTCCAGGTAAGATTCTAGATATTTTTTTAAGCTGAATCAGCTCTTGTTCAGGCTTGCCAGCATGTACAGAGATGTCCAGCCTCAATGCGGCTCCTGAGCAGCGGGGCAGAAACAGGAGAGGAGGCAGCTCCACTGGACACTGAGGCAGCCTGTGAGACGGGGAGAAGGGGAAGGTACCCACTAGTTCCCAGGTGGCTCTTGGAGAGTGTAACGGCTTTAGTGGGACCTCCAAAAGATATGTCCAGATCCTAATCTCCTGTTTCTGTGAATGTGACCTTACGTGGCAACAGGGTCCTGATGAGCATCAGTGAGTTAAAGATCTCCAAATGGAATCATCTGGATTTTGGGTGGGCCTTGTATCCTGTGACTAGAATTCTTCAAAGAAATAGGAAGATGGAGCCAGGCATTGGAATGATGTTGCCACAGCCTAGGAAGCCTAGGTGTTTTCCCACGGTGGAAGAGGAAGGAAAAAATTCTTCCCTAGAGACTTTGAAGTGAGCGGGGCCATGACATCTGATTTTTTTAGGTAATAGGGATTGAACCCAGGGGTGCTTCATCCTTGAGCTGCATCCCCAGCCATTTTGAGACAGAGTCTAAGTTGCTCAGGGCCATTCCAAGTTGTTGAGGCTATCTTTGAACCTGCAATCCTCCTGCCTCAGCCTCCTGAGCCACTGGGATTACAGGTGTGCACCATTGTGCCCAGCTCATGGCGACATCTTGAGTTTGAACTTTTGGCTTCCAGAACAGTGAAAGAATACATTTCTGTTGTGTTAAGCCGCTCAATTTGTGGGGGATTTGTTATGAGAGCCCTGGGAACTTGATCCAGCCTAGGAGTCACGAAGCCTGAGTTAATTGCTCATTTAGCAGAGGCCTGCATCAGGGTTGATTATACGGAGACATTTGAATTAATAGCAAAGGGCCAGCCATGAAGTTCAATCACTGGTGTCAGCTTATTTCCCCAAAGTGGGGGAGGTCTTTGTGCAGTGGAGATACCTGTGCTGGGTTCCAGGACCTGCCTGCCTGCAAAGAGCCACTGGCCTCTCAGGAGGCCTACATCTGAGGTTCTGTCTCCAGACACAGGGAGATAAAAGCTGTCCTCTGCCCTAGACAGGGAAGAAACCCCTGAGAGACATATTTACCTCCCAGCAACTCATCTTGGAAGAGGCTGTCTGAAACTGGAAGAGACCAACGAGCCTCCCATAGGGGAGTCCTGTTTTCTGTGGGATGGGAATCATGAAGTTTAGATCAGCTCTAGAAAATAAAAAATAAAAGTATGACCTTTTTTTTTCATAATTTAAGTACAGTTTCAAACCCCTTGACATGGTAATGAGAAGCTAAAGGAATTTGAGTTTGGAACCATGATGCAGTTTCCTGGGATGGTAAAAAAGAAGAAGCACATGTGGGATTAGTTGCCAGGCTGTGGGAATACTTTCCAGGGGTTGCCAGGGAAAAGGGCGAAAGGGAAGAAGTGAGCTAGCCGAGTCAGGTGGAGTTTCTGTCCTGGGACTAAGGCAAATTATGTAATCATCCTTTGCATTCAAATCTGCTCCACTTCCACCTGATATTTTGCTGAGGGGACTAGTGAGATTCCAAAGCTCAATTTGCTAGAGTGTGCAAAATGCTAATCAGCTTCAGCAGTCAGCAAAGTGGCAGGGGGGCGTGCCTCTGTAAAGGGGGGGCGAGGAGGCCGCCCTGACTGGGAGCCAGGAGGAGTCTGGCTGACTCAGCGACTCCTGCCAAGTGCATGTCCCTCCTCATTCATTTCCATGGTGACCTTTTCTCAGAGATCAAGGGGAGGGCCGAGAACAACTGAGAACAACCATGTTTCTTTGCACCAAGAAAATTGATATGCGTCAGGGTCATTGACAAGAGAATCAAGGGGTTGTCCAAATTGGGAGATGCCAGTTTTGATAAATGCTTCCATATCTCTAGAGCTGGACCATTTAAAGTCCCCAGTTAGATTGGAAAAAGACTTTGGAAATCCATCTCTGCATAGTGGCTCTGAGTTTGGTACCTAGCTCAGTAAATATTTGCTGAATGAATGAATGAATGAATGAATGAAGTTCAAGTTATATCCAGTTTGTGATCCATTCAGGTCTCTAAGATCCAGTCTCTAACCCACTCAGCTGGGAGTTTCCTTCTGTTTCATCTTGCAGCTAGGACAACTTTGGCACCCAAAAGGATGCTTCTTACCTATACAAGTTCTCTGGCTGAATGTTGCTATGATACAGTCTTGCCAAGAGCTGATCACTCAGCAACAAGGGTAAGTGCTATTCATGCTGGGTAAGTAAGGAATGCTGCCTGTGGGTGTCATTTGCTAGATGCCTCTTTAATATTTGCAAGGAGGCTGTGTCAGTTGCATTTTGTGGGTATGTGCTGAAAAATTTTACTGTGAAGTGGCTGTGATATTTTGTTGCTATTTGATTTAAAAATATTTCCCTCTGTTCTTATATACCTAGATGAAGGGGGAGAAAATCACAGAGGAATATCTACTTTTGTACCTACCTACCCATCTACCTATCCACCTATTTATCTCTGTGTATCTATCACCATTGTATTCAAATTAAATTGGCTTGGTAGAACTTGGGGAAAATTTCATAAATATCTCTTCCAATTCCTGGAAAGTGATCCTTAGTGATCCTTAGGTAGATTGGGACTCATGATCTCTGACACTTGCTATGAAGGTTTATACCTCTGATGGTTTTGTTAGTTAATCTAGAGTTTACATTTTTCCACTTATTTGCAGTGTTGTTTTTAAACTCAAGTTGGTTGTTCCTAAAATTGTACATGGAGTCCAGGGTAACTTGGAGCCTTGTCCTTGTCTGCTAATTGTCTTCATATAGTTGTGTCTATATGAAACGAAAGCTTGAATTTCTGAAGTTGGGCAAAGAAAGTTATGTGGGATAGCTGGACCCAACTAACTCTTGAAGTCAAGATATTGGCCCCAACGTGGTCAGAGCAGGAGAGTGGCATGCCTCCTGCTATGGTGTCTCAGCCATATTCACGGATCTGCAAAGAGAGTACCACACTATTATACAAAGAAACATAGTGAGGACAAGGGATCCCCAGTGGGTCCTAGCATAAAACTTAGCACATAGTCTGCATTTTAACATTTCAAAGTGGTTGAAGGACTAAATAAACGTCACTGCCTTTTTAACGCATGCTGCTGCATTACATTGCATACTCTCAGGGGTTGATGTGTGTAGGGAGATAGGTGCCGTAGTCCGGCTGCAGCAGAATAACTGGGGGGATGACGAATAACTTCTGTACTTTGATACAGCAGGTTTAAGAGCCATTTATTGTAGGACAACAGATGTATTTATACATTTTACACAGCTTATCTTAATTAGCATAAACTCGATACATCAGTCAACCAATAAGGAATCTCCACACTTAATGGCTCACTTTTGTTACTTCTCAAACCACTCCCTCTGGCATTTTGCCAGGCACAATCCAGACTTGTTTACGAACGCTTAACATTTCTCTGGCAAAATACCAGGTGTTATTTTGACTTGTTTACAGACCTTAACAGACAGGGAAAACCGTAGGAGCTCTGTTCTTCAATTCTGCCCTTTCTTGAAGCCTTGGTTTGGGAATTGCATCCAGGAAACCAGTTTCCCTTGGAACTTGCTCTGCTTCATTCTTTTGGTTTTATTCTGAAGAGTCACTAATTTAAATTAGTAAAATGGGCAGGTAATTTTTTGAGCCACTGGGGAGGAAAAAGGCTGGCTTGAGCTGCTTCACTACTGGGCCACCCTGTCACCCTGTGATCACCACCTACTCAATGTGAGAGAAAATAAGTAGGTGAATCTACTTCCCTGGTGGAAGGAAGAAACTGTCACAAGAATACTCACTGAGCTCTAAGAATCCAAATCTTCTCTGCCAACCCTCCATGAGGACCCCTCATGTGTCCTTGAGTCATTGGGTCCAAAGGACTTGATTAATTAGATTGTCCCAAGGTCATATAACCACTGCCGGCATTTGAGCACAGCACTTTATAGTTTAATGATTCATAGTACCTATCATTCATTGGTTGCAGGCACCATGCCAGCACCAAGAAGAATTATAGATAAGTTATTTATGATATTCTTGGCAAAAAGTTCTTTATGTTAGTAATATGCTTTTTTAAAACTAGGCTAGGAATCTGAGGTTTTCACTTGGTTAAGGTCATGTCACTGGTCAATGGTGGGACAAGATTCCAAACCAGATTTGTCATATTCTAGAGTCTGAGCTTTCTTTGTCTTCATCATACAATCCTTACTTGGCCAAAGGTTCTCACATGTTCCTTTGAGATTGGTTCTTGAGGTACCAGCAGTATGTCTCCCTATTGCTTCCTTGGTCTTCCCCCAGCATTACTCACCTGACAGGGGACAATGGAGTCAAACAGGAATGGGAACATCAGCTTTGTTGATGGTAAACCTGCCTTGGAGACTCTAGCTTAGACCTAGACCCTGAGCACTACCTTCTGTAGCTCCTGAGGTCTGACTCACCTTCTCAGTCATGCAGTGGAGAATCACTGTCCTGTCAAGATGCCAGTCACATAGAGCAGGAAGGGAGAGTACTCATGCGTACTGAGTGTACGATGTAGCTGAGCCCAACTGCAAGGTGTCAGAAAGAGCAATAGCACCTGGAGCAGGTGTCCTAAAAGCTAGGAGACATTCTCCTTTGCTATGCAAGACCAGGGTCATGAGACTGGGTCTGGCTAGTGTGAAGGCCATTTCTAAGCTTGGCTCTCAAAAAATGTTTTGAGAACCTTGGGTCACTATCTTTTGACAATGTGGTGAATTTAGGAACCACGTGATTCACATGACATAGCTACAAGATAGAAGAGAGATGCTTGACACACTTAGCACACATTACACTGTGCAATGAATAAGAAATAAACCTTTGGTTTAAGTCTTTTAAATTTGGTGTTAAAATGATTATTTTAGTAAAGCTTTCTCCTCTTCTTCTTCTTCCTCCTTCTTCCTCCTTCTTCTTAATTTTTCTTAAATTAATTATTTTTTGGTGTTTCGAGTTGAACCCAGAGCTTTGTGCATGCTAGGCAAGCACTCCACCACTGAGATATCCCCCAGCCTTTGCCTTGATAATTCAGTGCTTGTCCATTCTCTCCACTCAGGTAATATTCTCTTCCTTGATGTGGTATATAAAAGCTGGACACTACCCATCATTTCAAAGAGAATAGAAGTTATTTTTTTCCCCCAGCAGGAAAAGTGGGGAGGAGCAGAAAATGGACCTTTTACCATATGTACTATTACTGTTGTTATCATATTTAAACAAAGAAACTGAGCTTTAGTGACATTAAGTTGTTTTTACAAAGTCAAGTCTAAATCACTAGTCCAGGGCTTTTATTTCAAGATTCCATCATTTTTACATAAACTCCAAGCTCTTGCTCTAAAAGGTTTTATCCTCCCCAATAATGTGAGACATTATCTCAAAATAACATTATGTCTAATATCCACTGGAAGAACCACCAAATATGGATGCAGAACTTTCAGAGGAATTGTGATGACCATTTGCTGAATCTCTGCCCTCCCCTGGACATTGTACTCAGAACTCCAATGTATGAAATCTTGTTTATTCTTTATGGTAATCCTGTGACGTGTGTATTACCACCTCTGCTAGCAGCTAGGTGAGATGATGTCTGTAGTCCATCCACAAGCTCTCCGCATCCAGGAGGTTGCCAGGAGCTTTGGTGAATGGTTTCTTTCCATGGCCAGGGAATCCTAACACAGACATCATTTTCTTGCTGCCCTAGGGTGATCTCTGGCTAAGGCAGCCTGCTCAGTCCCTGTGGGAGGCCGGTGAGAAGTATCGAGGAATTAACTCCCAGGAGCAAGATTCAAATGAAGAAGGCAAGGAGTTGGTGGCTACATGCCCCAGTTTCCTTACTTCTGATGGGGCTTCATCTGAGATGGATCCTGTGGAGGTTCTCAGGGGCTAGCTAGGATGCCTGAGTCCACTCACTGATGCATCCTTTAGTAGAATTCTTCCCTTTCCCATGTCTTCATCCTATGATTTAGGTTGGGTCCCTTGGAAACAGACGGAGGAGGAAATTTATATGCAGGAGTTTTATTGGAGAACATGCATTGGAACAACACCTGTAAAGAAGTGAGAGGAAATGAAAGAGCAAATGAAAACACCAGGGCTGGGCAGAGGGGAAAGTTCTGCTTTGACGGAATTGCACGGAGGCTGCAGCTAATATCAGGTGCTCTGGCCTCAAGGCAGGGGGCACCCAAGAACAGTCATTGAGTGCAGGTCTCCCTGTACAGGGTATGACCTTGGCCAGGCAAACTTCTTTAAGCTAAGAATAAATCCCAGAGAGGCATGTAGCTATGAGCCACCAGCAGCCAGCTCCTCTGGAAGCTGGGGATGGAGTCCTGAATGGGCATCTGGACACTGTGCCATAGTATTCACAAAAGTCACTCCTTGCTCTGCTAAGATCCATTTACTTTTCATCAATCCATAGTAAGTGTTTCACTGGAGAGTGACTCTAAATGGGGACACCCCTAACACTAGCTTTTGGTTCCTGGGTTCATGAATACAGAGCACCATGATGTTGTCTTTGATTTAGGAAATGTACCTCCTCCTGAAGGTGGCAATCCGTGATAGCAGAGGATCAGCTCTGAATTGCACCTTCTTCTTGCTGATGGACTGGCTGTTTTCTGGGTTGTGCGGTATGAATGAGAACCAATGGATCTTAAGTCATTGCTACACCTCCTTGACTGTACAGTGGAGGCCCTTGGACTGCAGTGACTGTTGAGAGCCACAGCCAAAGGGGCCCCAGCAAACTTCCAGCTGCCAGCAAGCTTCAGACTGCCCCAGCAACATCTAGCTGATTGGCTCC